GTCAATTATTATTTATGTTTAATTAATATTTTTAATTAATTTTGGTTTTACAACTTATTTTAGAATTTTTGGTAATTAGGAATTAAAAAGGAAAATAATAGAAAAGAAAAACAAGTGAAATAGAAACACATTCGGAACTGGGCCATTTTTTTTTGGACCCAAAATCAGGCCCAAAACACCCCATTTACCCGGTCCAATATGCCTGATCTCTCAGATGACTCAAACGACGCCGTTTAGGCGTCTCAAATCTGAACCGTTGATCAAACAAGATCAAACGGTCCAGTTCAGCCCCAGCATTGGTTCAAACGACACTGTTTCAGGTGATAAAGTCTAAACCATCCATTCCTTTTGATCTAACGGTCCCAGGCTTCCCCCATAACCCGGTCCATTTCACCCCGGGTCGACCCAGTCTCGTAGCATGGTCAAACGATGTCGCTTCCTATTAGTAAAATGATTCAGGCCGTTGATCGTGATTGATCCAACGGCCAAGATCAAATGCCCCCTCCCGTATATAACCCTAATCCCTTACCCCACTCCCCCAAACCAAACCCCCCTCACCCCATCGTCTCTCTCTCAATCTCAGAGACGAACCAGACCAAACCCTAGCCGTCATTGTTACACCTTCGCCTGAAACCCGGCGGCAACAACGCCGTCGGTCACCAAATTAACACCCTTAAGCCATCTGACCACCCTCGTTACGAATCCGTTAACCGTTTGCCTCTAATCAACCTCTAGATTCTCGAATCTTCAATCGAAGATTCGAGCAAAACCTAAACCTACCCCAACCAGTCCCAAACTCACACCACGGCACCCCCTGACCTCCCTCGTGCCCAAAATACCTTTGGCCTGGTTCAAATCTTGCTAGAACCATTCGAACCCCAAATGGAACCAAGACCCCTATAAAGACCAAACCTGGGTTTTGTCCGAAATTAAAGGAATTTGGGCGTCTAATCGACCTTATTCGAAGTGTCATTCTTTTCCTCGATTCGGGATTAAACTGGTAACTTGGGACACCCTAAATCTCCCAAGTGGCGACTCTGAAATAAATAAACAAATTCCGTTTCGATTGTCCTTTAATTGGAAAAACTCCCTCTGCGCCCCAGCTGGCGTGGGTAAAAAGGAGGTGTGACAGAGCCCTGCCCCTGCCTCGGCCCCTAGCACGGCCTCGGCCTCGACTTCTGCCCCTTGTAGGAGCTACCATTGGGGGTGCTGGCTGCTACTCAGCTGAGGATGTGGTACATGTTCTAGCCATCTACAAGATAACAAGAGTAGAAGAGTTCAATTAGCAATGAGAGAACAAAATTGCATGACAGAGAAGAATAGAAGTGAAATTGTTCCTAAACTCCATAGCCTCTGGAAGATAAGTACAGATGTCTCTGTATCGATCTTCCGAACTATACTAAGCCTGCTCATGAATTGTGAGACCTAGGCAACCTAGTTCTCTGATACCAACTTGTCATGATCCGGAATTTCCACCGTCGGGGCCGTGATGGCACCTAACATTTCACTTGCTAAGCAAGCCAACGTTAGAGGATTCTTAACACCAACTTTAACCAATTTCAATAATAAAAATAATTGAGATGAACAGAAATTAAAATTGCTTTGTGTAATAACATTAACCCATAACATTTGAAATATTTAGGATCTGGAGTCACAACTCACGAGCTACTATGATTAACTATAAATAGAGTCTGAAAGGAAATACATTGTTTTAAAGGAAAAGAAACAGTAAAATACTAAGACTAGGGAGAGACTCCAAGGTCTGAGGACGCCAACAGATCTACCTTGGGTCTCTTGCCAATCAATCCACCGGCTAACCTCACGATCACCTCAGACCAGTACCAAAATCTGCACAGGAAGTGCAGAATGCAGTATCAGTACAACCGACCCCATGTACTGGTAAGTGTCTAGGAGGGATAAAATGAGGTGTTCAAAGCTTAAAAGCGCGGAATTAAGTTCTAAAATATAAGATGACCTTTCAGGTCATCACAAAAAATATGCAGAAGTGTAATATACGTATAATCGACATGTACTTAGTAAGTATCAAGTCTAATCCCGGTGAAGTAGTGGCAAGGTTTAAAAAAAGGTGATATAATTCCACATAAACTCGTAATAATATACAATACTTAACCTTGACCTCCAAACGCTTCCACATAGGCTTCAACCTTTTAATATACCATTTCCTTGATCCTTGACCTCCAAACGCTTCAAATCTAGCCAAACAACGCTTAACGAGGTCATATAAAGTCATAGAAACCAATTTCAAAAATAAAGTTTCAATCTTTAATCAAATCTTAAAAGTTAACAAAAAGTCAACTTGGATACACATGGTCAAAACTCGAGTCCAAGATCAAATCCCGTTGACCCATAAACCCACGAGTTTAAATATATGATTAGTTTTTAAAACCATCGCAAATCGGTTTTCAAAAACTTAAAATCTATTTTCTTATAAGTCTTAGACAAAAAATTCTAAATTTCACTCTTTGATTTCATATTTTAAATGCAAAAATCTATAGGGAATCAAGAGTTATGAATTAATCTAAGTATGAATTATTTATCCTCAAGATTTTGGTGAAATCGTCCTTCAAAATCTCCTCCTCCCAATCTCCAAAACTCAAAGATGGTGAAAATAAGCTAAATCTCAAATTCTAGACAAAATATACCCCTAGAGCTCGATCCTTCTACGTGAGCACAACTAAGCTCACGTGATCACGAAGGCCAACTGGCCTGGCTCCTACGCTACTGCGACTGTGATACACAAGCTGATGATCCTACGCGATCGTGGACTATATATGCGATTTGGAAGTGCAAATCTCCTCCTAGTCCAATTTTTTCTACGTGATTGCGAGACTTAGCTCCACGATCGCGATGCACTATTGTGCATAAGAAAATTAACATCTACAACATGTTCTAAAGAACAACAAAACTAACCAAAAATTCACCAAAGCCCCAGGGACCCTGTCAAACCATCTTAACAAGTTTGTTTACCCTATTGTATGCGGCGAAATCAGAGGTCCTAATTTCTTACTATCGAGTCACTTCAGAAGAACACCTCGAGACCCCGAGGACGCGAAGCTGTGACCAAGTTCCCTTCCTCGGAGCTCGTCGAGGTCCAACTTAAAGAAGGTACAGATCGAGGCTAGAGTCAAATGAGGAACTCCCCAGGCACACGGCTAAGTCTGACAAGGCCAACTTACCCGGAACCTGTATCAAGGCGTCACGTCTAGCCATCCCATCTCCCTGCATTTACAATTAATGCACTTTTGTACTATATTTGAATACCCCCTCCTATATAAAGGGGATCATCACCACTTCGTGAAGGATTGTTGGTGCTCCAACTACTCTACACAAGATCAATAACAACTCTCTCTCTCTCTCTCTCTCTCTTTTCTCTCTGACTTACTCGCTCGAGGCTACCTTCTTCATTTATTGCTTTCATACGTGTTCTTCATTTATTGCTTGATATTGGCCATAAAGAGCCTTCTTTAATTATATCCTAACTGTTATTTAGCTTCACATATCTAGCATCAACTACCTTAACAACTAGCATAAAAATAGATGACGTATTTTTAGAGTCCCATTAACAAATTTAATTGTTATTACCATTTTCACGGTAAACAGTTTGGCGCCCACCGTGGGGCTAAAAATAATAGTGATTATTTTCTTGTTGGTTTCATTGCACAATTCAAGTTATCTTTCACACTTTTTCTTGTCCAAGATCTTCGATTTCAGGTCAAAATATCTGACTCAGTAAACAGAGTCAAGAATGACAACCTCGAAAACCACAAAGAAAATGGTGTGGTTGTTCCAGTTGTTGGCACGCCACTGCAAAACCCCGATAACACACCTGGACCGATTCCAATGGACACGGATTCGCAAGACGCGCAGCAGGTCAACGAAACCTCATACACCGATTGGAGCATACGATTTGGCGACCAACAGGAAACCCAAAAAACCCCAGCCCGGGAAGAACATGAAGTTAGTCTTCATGTTATTTTTGAAATGTTGCAGGCACAACAGTTGGCTATCGCTCAATTGCAAAGCCTCCCGAAGACTCCCAGCACAGTAGCACCGGAAACTACTCCCCCGGTCAAACCGGTACCGGAGAGATCGAGCAACAACGGATCAGTAGCCGATCCCGCCATCGTGAAAAAGCCGGAAGACCTCACCCAAAGGATCGAGCCAGGCGAGAAAACGATAGCAGCCAATGATAAGAAGGTCAAAACCTATAACTTCAGAGTTAACCAAATCCCGGGCTCACCCCTGGTCCTCAAAGATGTGGATTCGAAGAAGTTTATGCAAAGGTCGTTCCTTGAAGAAGCGGCCCCGAAACCCATTCCAAAGAAGTTCAAAATGCCGGAACTCCCTAAGTACAGCGGGACCACAAACCCCAATGAATACGTTATTGCCTACACCTGCGCGGTAAAGGGCAACGATATAAAAAATGACGAGATCGAGTCCATCTTACTAAAGAAATTTGGAGAAACGCTCTCGAAGGGGGCCATGATGTGGCATCACAACCTAGCTCCTAACCCCATAGATTCATTTGACATGCTAGCATATTCCTTCATAAAGACACAAGTCGGTGCCATCAAAGTATCAACAAGGAAGTCCGGCGCATTCAAGATCAAGCAGAAAGAGAATGAAATGCTGCGAGAATTTGTATCTCCTTTTCAAACGGAACAAATGCAACTTCCCCCGATCTCCGACGATTGGGCGGTGCAGGCCTTCACTCAAGGCCTAAACGAACGAAGCTTAGTGGCTTCGAACAGTTGAAATAGAACTTGATCGACTATCCAGCTACAACCTGGTCGGACGCCCACAACTGATACCAGTCACGAATCAGGGTCGAGGATAACCAGTTGGGAGCCCCCTCGAGCTCGGTATACCCAAGCAGGCTCCTGGCAAAGAAACCGAATCCAAACAAAGAAAGATACCGGTCGTACGCCAAAGATAAGAGAAATTTTCCGAGACGCAACTTGCCTCGCAACGGTCGGAGAATGGATCGAGGAAAATACCCTCGAGGGCTCATCAATAGAGCCATAATTGATGGAGACACGAGGCTACCGGGGGCGCCTCACCCATCAGAATACAACTTCAACATCGCTATATCAGACCTTGCGTTCACCGTCAGCAAAACCGGGGACACCAAATGGCCTACGCCTATTCAGTTGGATCCTTCCCAGAGCAATCACAGCTTGGTATGTGAACTTCATAATAAGCACGGCCACAGGACCAAAGATTGCCACCAGCTCCGAAAGAAAATAGCCAAGCTACTCCATAAAGATCACCGCCAAGAATTTTCAGGCAATCGAGCTCAAGTTCGGTTCCAAGAAAGAAAGGTGGCCAAAAAGAACGAATCAAATGGGCAACGACATGTTATCACAATATTGGAGGGGCATCGGTACCCCCGGGAACTTGTGAAGAGGAGGACGAATATATCCATTGCCGGAGAAAGACGAACCTGGGAATACGTACCCGGAGGTGCCCCCATATTCAACAGAAAAAGCTCTGAAACCTCACCCCAACTCCATAATAACACACTGGTAACCTCTTTCTTTATTCATCCATTTCGAATAAAGCGTGCGCTCGTGAATCCAGGTAGCTCGACCAACATTATCAGGTCGAGAGTGACAAAGCAGCTCGGGCTGCTAGACCAAATCATGCCCGCCTCTCGAATCTTTGATGGGTTCAACATGACGATCGAAACAACAAAAGGAGAGACCATTCTCTTAGCCAACACAACCGGCACAGACCGGAACGCCAAATCCCATGTCATTAAAGGATACGCGAGGCAAAAATGCCTTATTCGGACGGCTGCAGACACACCGCATGAGAGCGGTACCATCCCCCTTCGCCAAATGATGGAATCCCTAGCAAAGAACAGAATTAAAACCGTCTACGGTGAACAACACACGTCAAGGGAAGTGTTCGCATTATGTAACGTAGCGCCAGAACCAATACTTCCACCCTCGAAAGGGTCAAAGGATAATCGAACTATGTCTTCAGCTAAGCCCGATTAAACACAGCGAAGGACCGTATAGGGTCCTCACGCCAAACAGCAGGAACACATCAGGCCTCAGAACATCACCTGCGCACCCCATAGTAAGGTAAGGCCACCTCCCTTTTTTTATTATTCTACACTAACACCTATGCAGGTGCCCGGTCGAGGCAGTCGAAAATGCTGACCCAACCCGAAGATCTCAAGGCTTTAGCGGTGTCCATTGCATTCTTTCCCTTCGATCGAGCTTTTATCCCGAAAAGAGTTTTCACCAGCAAGGTTTTTAACGAGGCAACGTCCATGCGCTGCCTAAAGAGGACCCAACAAGCTTACAGGGTTTCTTTTGCAATCAACCTTGTACCATAAAATGACAAATAAGGTTCCAATAGGAAATGATATACCGGGCCAAACGGTCAAACGAACCGTGTCCGCATAAGCCAGGCTTATGGTAACAAAACAACATGTACTTACGCGAAGCAATCAAAGAATATATTTCACCAAAAGTATCTCGTACTCCGAAGAAAATTCAACATGTTCACAGCAAGGATCCCTCCATCAAGTACGTCCCGAAATACTCGGAGACTAGCGTCAAGAATTTGATACCCGCATGGCCTCAAGGGTCAGAACTCCATGCTCATAAGTCCTCTATGAGGCAATGACTCGGAGACTGTCGCCAATCGCCACTCACTAAAAAACCCGAGGTCGTAAGATCCTGAGCGGGCAAACTCGATCTGGCAAGATCCATTTTACATAGCAACAAAAACTGTAAGACCTCAACAGACATGAAAAAAAACTGTAAGACCTCAACAGGCATGAAAAAACTATAAGACCTCACCAGGCATGAAAATTTTGTAAGACCTTACTACAGGCATAAAACTCGATCCCGAAGTTTAGGCTATATGTCGCATTTGTAAGACTCCCGAAAGGGCATACCCTCGATGTAGACACCTAAACTACCATACTCAGGATCAAAAATGGCTCCAGCCAAATACAAATGACTACGGTCAATATGGTTGCACCAGCCAAATTAATGCAACTCAGGAACGCCCAACCGTCGCTATAAAATTGCAGGTCATTATTTCGAATCTACTTCGAAAAGAACCGGTTAAACACGCTACCCTCGACAGGCAAACGAGCTTCGACCATGTCAGCTCCAAATCACAAGGCTTTGAGCTACTCAGCCTACGAGCTAAACCTTCTGAGGTGCTCGAACATCGCCGCAAACGACTTGAAATCGAGGTTCTTCCCAAACCGACGATGGGTCAGGCAAAATTATTTCAAAAAGTCCTTAACGAAAGGAAAACAAAGCCTATATATGCCTAAGGGCAAAAGCGTAAGAGCCATTGTCGCCAGCCTAACTAGTTCAGGGCCACACACCAAAAGGTCGCAATGACCAAAAGCGTAAGAGCCACTATCGCCAGCTTAAAATTTGAAAGCTTGAGGACCAAAGTGAGCTCGAGTCGTAACCCGATTCATAGACCGAATCCAAAATAGTTAACTATACATGCCTAAGGGTATAGCTTAAGAGCCATCATCACCAGCTTCACGAGCCTCAGGGCCGCATACGTAAAAGGTCGCTTTGACCCAAGACGTAATAGCCATCATCGCCAGCCCACTCAAATACAAACTTGAGGGTCGATTGTGCTCGAGTCGAAACCTGACTCGGAGACCGAACCCAAAATAGTTAAAACACAAATTCCCAAGGCCAAAATGCAAGAACCATTATCGCACGCCCATGCAGACACAAAAGCTTGAGGGTCGATTGTGCTCGATTTGAAACCCAACTCAGAGACTAAACCCAAAATAGTTGAGCAAAGCATAAGAGCTCTAACGCCAGCTTACACTAAAGGCCGCATCAACCGAGCGCGTAAGAGCCTCTGGGCCTGCCTTATAACCCAAGGCCATATCACAAATCTAAGGATTCTTACCAACTCTGAAACCGGTCCAACTGGTCAGGAGCAAAAGCAGAAAGGAGTATAAAAGAAACAAAACCTCGAGTTCTTTGATATTTACAAAATGTGAAAAGGTACATTCCTCATCTACAAACTCAAAGGTATCGCATACGAAGTGGCAAGTCTATGCCCCGCCCCCGAGGGCTACGACCTATCAGCCTCGCCTTCACTCTCCTCAATATTGGGCAGAAGTAATCGAGCATCATGCTCGTCCACCCTCCTCGAGCCAGCTCTTCCGGAAGAATAAAACCCCTGGCACCGATCTCTTCAAGTACCCTTTTTCGGGACCCGCAAAGAACATATTCCGCGATCCTCTCTTCACGACCGAGGGCCCTCTTCAACTCGGCTTGGGCATCAGTAGCATCCTTCAAATGAATCCCCATCTCCTAATCAGCCTTAGTCCGGCTCAAAGCTGCTTTGGTCCGATCATCAACGATCTCAGCCTTGACCTTCGAAAGTTCAGACTCGAGCTTCGTGATCATATCCGCTTGAACTGAAGCGTTGTCACGAGCCAAGCAGAGTTGGGCCTCAAAGGCAGGAACTTTAGCCAAGGTACCTTTCTTCTCTAAAGCTTGAGCCTGCACTCGAGCTCTTAGCTAGCCACAGTCATTCCTAACTCAGTCGGCTTCACCCCTAAGGTGCTCCAAAGCCTCCATCTTTTTCTGCAACTGAAATAGGCAAGAAGTTAACCTAAAAGGTTAAAAAGCGAAATGCATACCACGAGAAGTTACCTGCTCCATCAAATAGCTCTCGTAATTCGAGCTCCGGTACGCCTCATATCTCCAGTGCATCAACTCAAATTCCTTCTCCTCACAGAGGAGCCTAAGGGACCTACCCTCATCCAGAGCTTTCCAGAGCCTAGCCCCATGACGGAGCAGCTCAAACCTAAGCCTGTCAAAGGCCTGCAGAAGAAAAACTCGATAAGGAAGAGAAAACACGAGATGCGGAAGGCCTACGCCAAAACTCACCGCGAAGTGAAGCCGGTGGACTTCCTCGAAGGCCGAGCACACTTCTGTTGATCCAGCCCCCTCGGCCTTGGAAGAACCAACCTCGGTCAAAGTATGATCACTCGGAGGAACCACCGCTCCGGAACCGGAGACTTCAGGCACAGCAGGCTCGGGCGATGTTTTCTCCTTGGAGATTCGGACCCGTTTAGCCCTACTAAAAGCTCCATCACATTGCGAGTGCTTATCCCGTTTATCACCGCCGTCCCTTGGCTCAGAAGCTGACAACTCCTCCCCCTCTCCGGAGGAGCACAGCCTCGCCCCTGGGGACCTTTCAATACCTACGACGGCAAGGTCAGTACATAAAAAGAGGAAAATGTCACCTCAAGTATACGAAGGGCAAGGTAAAAGCAGTGTACACACATACCTTGGTATTTTGCTTCCCATCTGCCCCGGGACACATCTCTCCACCTACGCTCGTCACAAGTCGAATGGGTCGCTAACCTCAGGACCCAGCCGGGCAGATCAGGAACTTCGCCCGGCACCCATGAAACTGCTGGAGAAAAGAAGGAAACACAATTACTAAACTGGCTTTCGCCATGAGCAAATCTGACAAAGCACAAGACACTTCACTCACGCATGTAATTCCATTCCTCGGGAAATGGCATAAGTTCCACGGGGATAACGTCAGTCGTCCGGACCCAGACAAATCGACTGATCCACTCCCGATCTCCATCTTCCTCATCATCAACAACAAAGGGCGTGGACGAACGGCACCGTAAGGTTAGCAGGCCTCGATGATGAAAGGGCCAGTACAGCCTGACGAGGTGACTGAGCATGAATTCAAGTCCTACCTTCTCCGCAAAAAACCTCATCCTCAACACTACTCACCAAAACGATGAACGTATCTGCGCCAAAGTAACCCGATACTTTGAACAAAAATCGAGCACAACCCTATTAAGGGGGCCTAGTGCGAAAGGGTACAAGTACACGTTCAGGAATCTATCGGTGGGGTCCGTAATACCCTCATCCGAGGAAAACACCTGCAACGCTACCCGCTCGCCCCATCCGCAATCTTTCTTCACTATCTCCAGATGCTCCTCTCTTATCGAAGACATAGTCTTCAGAGTAAACTCTCGTGGATCCTGAGCATTGGGAGTGGAACTCTCCCCTCCCAGCCGAGCAGGCCCTGAAGTAGCAGTCATGGCTATGGTAGAACTAGTAAACTGAGGCGGAAATCTACACGAACACTTTTGCGCTTAAGGTAACGAAGGACTCGATGCCAAGGCGGAAGGATAGCTATCTAAAATAATGGGATCTTCCAAGAAGCGGGAGCCACCCCATATATATGTGGGGAACAACAATGATTCACCTACCCAGGATAGGCCTCGGGAGGCCAACAGCTTCGGTACAGATCTCGAGGTGGTACACGACCCCAAGGACCTCCGTTAAAGGGAAGTTAGGCCCCAAAAGGTCAGCGACATCGTCTCCAGTCCAGAGAAGGTATCCGACTCCGAAGGTTCCTCCCAAGAAGAAAAGTAAGCACTTCAAGAGAACCTCAGAGAGCCCAATCCCGGCCTTCCACACTGATATGCACAAAGGATAGGTCGAGAAGCAAGGAGGGATGAAAAAATGCCATAGCCCGCCAAAGATCGAGGACCCTCACTAGCCAAGAGAACCTTAGAGAGACAGCAGACCTGACGAGCATCGGCCTCGCTTGCACGGCTTCTTTGAATCCACTTCTTGGAACATTGAGTTGTGAAAGCTACCAACCCGGGGCAAAGAGCCACGTCGAGCCGGGGTATGAATGTGAGAAGCGGTGTATAATCCGAGCCCCTTTGTGAGCAGCGGTATATAGTCCGAAGAACTTTTTACAAGCAAGGAAAGTCGACCCCTGTATATCATCGTCTCGAGCCAATAGGGACAGCGACAGCAGGCGTAACAACAACAACAGTAGTGACAGAATGGTATAATCATGCTCAACAAAGGGGAGCTCAGGCAAAAGGCCACGACACGGCCTATCGGAACGCTGCCAAACAACCCTAAGGCCGTGAACTCCAAACATGGTGATCAATAACAGAGGAAGATGGCGAGGAGAAAGGGATGAATGAGAAGATGAAGACACT